TTTGATTTTTTTATTAAGAGGTGCTGTTTCTAAAATAAAGCAAATAAGCTAGTTAAATATAATTATTGACAATAAAATAACAGCAATTTATTTGGTAATTTATTAATTTATTAAAAAAAAATAAGATATATATTTTCATTTTGTTCAATAATAAATAACATTATTATTTTTAGTATATTGGTGTGTAAACAATTAGAAGAATAATTAATTACTTACCTAACTTTGTTTTCTCAAGTTCTGCACACACTTCATGATATGCCGACTCTAATTGTTGAAATTCTTCCTCAGAATAAAAAATATCATCACGTAAAGCATATTTATTTTGAAATTTCTGAATTTTTTTGTTTGATTTTTTTTGAGCTGGTGATTGATAATTAGGTGAATCTGAGTATTCTGGATCATTGTCAGTCTTATACAAACAGTGATGACACATCATTGCTGTCTCTAATAATTTAAAATAATTAATTAATCGTCCAGGTGCCTTCTGGAATAAAATTTTTTCTTTTTTTTGTGCTGTAGAAAGATAAATATCATGCTTAGGATGGGAACAAGTGTTAATTATTTTGTTTTTAGCATTAACAATTAATTTGTTATAATGCCTTCTACATAATGCTTTTCCAACCAAATTTAAATGTTTGTTAATATCTGGAATAGTAACTTTATCAGATACTATGGAAGCATTATTAATTTTATAATCACAGATAATGTCACCTTGGCCTTCTAAATCACAATATTGTACTTTTCTCCTCTTATCTTTATGTTCATCACTGGAGGGTGCTTCTTGAGATGAGTTTTGTATGACATCCATTTTCTGTAAGGCGAGTTGCTTAAAATGTAGCTATATATTAAATTATATATTAAATTAAGTATATAAAATTTTCTATTGCAAAAAAGTCTACTATAACTAACTTCCGAATTACTTCACCTTTTGCCGAATTATTTTGGCAGTCTATAAAATAGAAGGTGAGAAATCAGAATATATTGTTGTTATTGCCACAAAATTGATTTTGGTGACGCAAAGTCAAGTTAAAGTCAGATGACGGTCAGTTTGTATATGAAACATATGTGGTGTAATTAATGCCGATCATATCTTAAAATTGAATACCCGCTATGTTGGGTCGGGTTGAACCACCGACCCGACCCGACCCGACTCGTTCGGAGCTCTATGAATATTAATACATGAATTTTGAAAATAAAAATAAAAATGAAGATATAAATGTAAATATGTAAATATAAATATAAATATAAATATATAAAATATAAATATAAATATAAATATAAATATAAAAAAAAATATTTTAGATATGTTTTTTAAATTGTATACACCACTTTATAATTATACCCTGAATATATCTGTTACTGTTGTTTAAAAATCCTTCTTGTTTTTTAAATGCATCATAAAAAAATCAAGATACAACCTATTATATGATCTTTGTACTATTGGAAAAAGTTGAATATAAGTTATAAGTTAATCAAATATATATAATAAATACTTATTTCTTTAAAGTATAATAATAATGAGAATATAGAATAAGTCTTTACCTGCAAGTATAATAATAACTTATTAATAAGTAAAATGTTATCATTCATATTTAAAAAAAAAAATTTAAATAATAATAATAAATAATAATAATAATGACACCATTTTGACGGACAAGATCACAGAAGCCTTAAACTTTTACTTCTAAGGTAACTTATTGAAATCAAATTGATCAAATTGATCAAGTTTTACCAAAATATAAAGAAAAGTCAAAGTGATATAAAAAAAAATAGATTTTCCATAAAATGGGTTTTGTGCGCAGTCACGCGACTTTTTTCTATTCTAAATTCAATTGAAATAGCAAGTTTCACAATATAAAAAAGATCAATGATCGATTTTGTCACGAATGTCCACTATGCTCATTATGTTACATCACCTAATTTTGATTTAAATTAGGGTATCTCTCAGTAAACTAATTACACAAAATTAATTCCTTTCATTCGCATATAATATATACAACCATAATAATTATTAAATTTCACTCTTTACTTTTTTTTTGTTTTAGAAAAAAACAAAGTATTAATACATGTAATATGTGGATATTTAGTAAATCTAATTTACAGTTACCAAATTACGGAACATCACAACGTTCAGCACTTCAAACATTATTTTTTTGGTTATGGAGATTAAGATATTACCTGCTATTAATTTATTTAATATTATTCTCTGTGTTGTTTTCGATGACACAATTTGTTAAATATACTTTTGGAGATTCTGATGAGCTTCCAATTGAGCTTGAACTTGACAGCAAACCTATTTATCGAGTCTATGGTATAAAAAAAAACACAATAAAATAAAAAACTTTTTAAAATATAATTAATAACAATTTAAAAATCCAATTCTCTCACTAAACTATTAGATACTAAATCAATATCACCATTATCTGAGATGTTAGTCAAGCATCGTTTTTCAAAATTATATTCCAAATTACCTAAATCATTAACAGATAATTTAAAGCCATTTTATATTCGTTCTAAAATTCAACCTAATCCAAATGATATAACAGTCTCAGCATTTGTTACTGAAAATAGATTTGAAGATTTAATTAGGCTTGCTGAGTTGTGGAAAGGTAATTAATTACTTTATTTTATTAAATAAATGAATTGTATGGTTATTTATTAAAAAAAATTATTAATTAGGGCCTATATCAGCAACTTTACACATAATTAATTATGAAAATGACAATAAAAGCTATTTAGATTCAATGATAGCATTAAAAAATTTATTTAAAAAAAATCAAAAAATTACAAGTAAAATAGATGTCCATTTAATATTGGGACCAAATACACTATTGCCAAATTATAACAATACTAATAATATCAACAATAATACTGCAAAAAAATATGCAATACCAACCAATTTTCATTTAAATGTTGCAAGATTTTTTTCACGTACAGAATTCATTTTTTTTTTAGACCATGACACATGGCCATATTCATCTGAATTATATACAAAAATCAAAGACTATTATATAAAATATCTTGAAAAAAATAATATTATTATTTTACCAACATTTGTATTTATAAACAACTCATCATCAATAATGTCATCCTTAGATAAGACATCAGAAGCATCAATGGAAAACAATAGTTATAATAGTGTTGATCATATATTACAATTTCCTAATAATAGAGATGAATTAATTCATTTGGTTAAAGATGATAAGATGGCATTATTAGATAGAGGTTGGGAACTTAATAATGGTCCAACTTGTCTAGATAAATTCATGAAAAGGGAAGATAATTTACCTTATCAACTAGAGACTTATGATTTTTATTATAAACCAAATTTCATAGTCAAGAAGAATGGTAAAATCCCATGGTAATAATTTATTTTTATTTCTTTTTAATGTCAAAAAATGGTACCTAAATAAATATATTCTGTTTTTCTTCCTAGGTGTACTGAACGTTTTGATGATAATAAAGCAGCTTGTTTACTTCAAATGTATTTAAGTGGATTGAATTTATTAATTAGTCCAACTGAATTTTTAATTAAATATAATTTCAATAAAAATTCACATTTAACAAATTATGAAGAATCAAAATATCAAGTATTTTATTTTATTATTATTATTAAATTCATTTAAAATTTAAAATTTATTTCACTGGATTTTTCTCTCTAACTAAATATATATTTTTTTTATTTTTAAATATAAAGAAATTGATCAATAACAGATTATATGAAAGTTTCTATAAAGAAACATGTTTATTTTTTGCTAGAGAATATTTAGCTTTAAATAAATGGAAAACACAAATTTCAGCTCAAGTTAGAAAAGAATGTCGTAGGGTTATATCAAGCTTGGGAGAGGGGATTGTAAGTTTATAATAATTAATTAGAAGAAATAAACAATAAAAGACTTTTATATTATTATTATTAATATTTTAAACTAAGAGGAAAAAATAATTGTACAATTATATTTAAATTTTTTTTTTAATTAATAAAATTAAATAAAATTTAATATAGATTTTTAGAATATAACATATAACTCAATTGATCAAGTTTATTTAAATAAAAGGAATGGAAGTTAATTCCTATTGGTCCATGCATCAACTGTGAATGAAATAAGTCCAGGTGTTTCCTAAACATAAATAATATTATTATTAATTAAAACATTTTCAATTTTAATATTAAGCATAGTATTTGAAAATCAATTATATTTAAATTACTTGTAAGTGTTTACAAACCAATTCTTTGGTTTGTTTAAATTTTTTTGATAAATCACAATAAACAGTATCTGGTGATGGAATATTGATATCAGATTTTATATATGTCAGCACCTCTCTAAAAGATTGGTCTTCAGTAACAACAAATGGTTGATCATTAATTACTATCCAATGAAGCAACTTTTGTCTAAAACCTTCTTGAGTAAACTAAAAATAAAAAAATAAAATTAAATATGTTATGTTTTTGAATGAAATTTAAAAAAAACCAATTACCTTTTCTGGTAGATTATTATTAAAATTACAAAATTTATCCATAGGACCAGTTATTATTCCTCCATATTTTTTTGAATTATTATTATTAAAGTGTCTCCATAGTGTTGATGTTGATGAATCACCAAAATTCTTGCTATTATCAATTAAAAAAAAATAAGCATATAAAATAATAAACTTATATAAATCACTAACATTACCATTACCTGCAATATTTACAATGCCATCAACCATTTGAAAAATTATAATGTTCATAGGCAGCAGATGTTTGTTTTCTCGAGGAAGAGAAAGAAGCATTACTACCACTACTTTCATTTTCATTTATACTCCCACTTCCACTTCCAACTTCACTTCCAACTACACTTCCAACTATACTTTTGTTTATGCTTCCACTTCTGCTTATACTTTGATTTACATTTTCATTTACACTTCTGCTTCTAATATTATATGTGTGTTCATTCTGATATTCATTATTATATTTATGTCCATTATATTTGTACTCATTATCATATTCAAGCAATTCAATCACATTATTATAACTAATATCATAATTATTGTCATTATACACTTTTAAAGAGAAAGAACACACACATAATATTAGAAATTAAACATTTATTAACACAAGTAAGAAACAAAACATTTACCGTGTCATGACCACCCTCCAAAATCAGTAAAGTGAGCAACCTTCATACAGGTTTCTCACCGATTGTCTCCTTTTGCATTTAGCCATGCTTGGTTTTTTCAGCTTTTGGCGTGATCAATGTTTTCACCATATTTGGCAAAAATTGTGTCATATGGCAAATGTTTCATTTCTTAATAGATTCAATTGCAAGCATTGCATGCAATGCTTTGCAAGGTGAGGAGAGACATGATCAATGAACCAGCAAAATTCTATCTTTTTCAAACCTAATTTTTTGGGAAGGAATTTTTTGTTTTCGTTGGGTGGTAAATTTCAAAAAAAAAATTTTTATTTTTCCGAAATCGATCTATGTGATTCTTTATTTTTTTTTTTGTTCAGTGAGGTCTGGTTAGTTTATTTATGTTAATGATTTTCAATATACATGATTATATATATTATTTTAGTTACCTTTTCTTTTTTATCAGTTATGTGTGCATGGATTATGCTATTCAATGTAGTAAAAACCTCATAAAAATAATCATTACAGATACTACATAGACCACCCAGATCCTTTCGATATACATATGGTCCACTTGCCAAGCGTGCCATAAATGATGTACGTTTAATTCCATCAGGATAAGTAGCCTCAAGTTTTTTCCAAAGTTCTTGCTTGTTATCCTTCAATAGAGAATTGGAAGGTTTGTTTTAGTATCAACTTTATAAGAGCTCATACTTACGTTGTCTTTATCTGCAAAAAAAGCCTCAAACTCCTGATTCTTAACTTCTGATATTCTATTTTGAGTAACTACAGGTTTTTCCCTTGCAACACAACCAGGACCATTAATTTGTGAATAAATTTTTGCAGCAATTATCATATCATTTGAAATCTAAAAAATTTAAAAACAATTTTGTGTGAAAACATATCCACCAATTTCTGCAATGTTACACGATTTCAGGCTGATTTTGGGGCACATTTTCGTTGTTTTTGTTTTGTTTTAAGGTACATTTTTGATATGTTACACCATTCTTTATCTAAAAAAAGT